AACCTGACTTGAATTTGATGGGACAAGCTTTGTGAGCTTGTCGGCGATACCTAAAGAGGTAAGAAGACGGTTAGCCTGTATGGGAGGCTTGAGGGGTCTTGTGTTGATGTGTTGTACGACGCGCGGCGCGTCGAAGTTCCTAGAGAAATAAAGGGAGGGATCAGTGGTTCCTTGGGTGGCGGAGGCGATAGAGCGTGGGAAACGGTTTCGAACAGCCTACGGTGGCTGTGTAGAGTCGATAGCGTCGATAGAGAGTCGATAGGGAAGCTGTCCAGGCACTCGAGTCCTGACAGAGAGAGAGTTTAGCAGACGACTGCTGAGTACTTTTCGGGGGGAACTGATTGATTGCTCATTCATGCCGATTCGGCTACATTTTATACTCCTTAGCTAGGCCAGCTTTCTGAGTCATATTAGTAATCCTAGCAGTGCTGAGTCAGCTTCTGACTCAGCCGAGTCATGATTTGTCATGTGCTGACTAAGATTGGGCACCGCTTAGTAATCCCTTTCCTAATATGGTCAAACTTTCCTGGGCCCGTTTAAGGTACATGCTTGGTCTATTCTACTTAGATTCTATACTACTACATAACAGAGAGGCTGCAGAATGAATAAAAAAATGGAGGTTTTCGAGCAGTTCCGCACCTATTCACTTTAGGGGCGGGACACCGTGTAATCGCGACGGGCAATCCGAATAGAATCCTATGGCACGGCCGCCCCCTCAACCAACTTAAAACATCCTAAACCAAAAACAAACCGTCGACAATTCTACCTCTGCACTGGAGACCCGCCGACCGCCTAAACCGACGCCACACCCTACGAGAACGCCGCAGAAATGCCCCCTGAACCAACAAGCAACGTAACGAAAGCCGCGACGCTGGCTAGTATGAATAAGACAGGAAACCCTGCCGGACGCGGTATGCTTGTGTAATACTAAGAAATAAACAAGCCCTAACCCCAGACAGGACACGAGAAAGCTGGAAACGGCAAGAGACGTGGACCGCCACCGACAACCAACCTAACGTCGTCGACGGCATCCCAGGACACCCAAACATGTTCGCTGTCCTGGACGAGGACGGCCGAAACGACCACCCACCACCCATACAGACCGAGGGCAAAGCGGGGAAAAAGCGTAGAACGATCCAAGAAGTTGGTAAGCGCACCAACTCCTCCGAAACGACCGAAACAAACCTCCCTCACCACGACAGCGGACACGATTAGAGAGGCGAAGGTAGCGATCTCGAACGCTGAGGGCGCACCCCAGGGTGCACCCTGAAACCTGGCCGCCCATCCCGCCGACGCCCACACCAACCCCATTGCCACCCAGACTATCGCAGCTGCTGCACAGGAACCCCCCACTGCCGATTGCGCAGACCCGGAAATGACTCAAGGCACCCCAAACGCCACCCAGCTCCCCCCCGCCATACTCCAAGGTCTCCACGCTCCCATCCGAGCCCACCCCGGCGCCAGCCAGGATGGTCCAGCCACCCACCACGGTACGGACACCGTTACCCAAGGGACAACGACCACCGCCCACGAAGCCACGTCCCCCCAGAGCGAACCAACGACTGCAACCGGCACACCGACCATCATCCAGAGCGCGCACACCCCCCACCGGGCGCCCACCGCCCAACGTGCCGCCGCGTTGACCACCCCTGACACCAGCACCACTACCACATCTCCTGCCACCGCGACCGCCCCCCAGACTGACGTGACTAATAGAGCTTGCGGCGCCGACGCCTCCACCCCAGCCCAGCAGGAGACGCCTGACGTTGTCCCGCCCCTAAAGTGAATAGGTGCGGAACTGCTCGAAAACCTCCATTTTTTTATTCATTCTGCAGCCTCTCTGTTATGTAGTAGTATAGAATCTAAGTAGAATAGACCAAGCATGTACCTTAAACGGGCCCAGGAAAGTTTGACCATATTAGGAAAGGGATTACTAAGCGGTGCCCAATCTTAGTCAGCACATGACAAATCATGACTCGGCTGAGTCAGAAGCTGACTCAGCACTGCTAGGATTACTAATATGACTCAGAAAGCTGGCCTAGCT